GCCTGTAGTCCCAGCTACTTGGGAGGCTGAGGCAAGAGAATCCCTTGAGTCCAAGAGTTGATGTAGCTGTGAGCTATGATGCTACAGCACTCTACCAAGGGTGACAAAGTGAGACTCTGTCTCTAAAAAATAAAATAAAATAACTTAGGCTGGAAAGAGTCAGCCTTCAAAGCTAGGGTCCTGAACCAAAAGAAAATTTAGAACTTAGTCAATCACCAAGTCTCAGGCACTTACAAACAATGAAGCAAACAGCATGCTAGACCCTGGAAGGAATAGAGAAAAAGTAAAGATGCAGATTCTACCCTTGAGGAGGCTGTGGCTGGCTCAAGGTATGAAAGAAAAAAAAAGAATCACTGCATAAGACAGTAGTAAGTGCTAACTTGGTACAGAAATGAGTGCAAAACAAACTCGTCACTTCTCCTTCCTGACTTCTCTATTTTTATAAATGGTCCCCTCACCCTAGGCACCCATGTTTGAACCCTGTTTTTTGTTTGTTTGTTTGTTTTTGAGAAAGAGTCTTACTTTGTAGCCCTTGGTAGAGTACCATGGTGTCACAACTCACAGAACCTCTAACTCTTGGGCTTACGCCATTCTCTTGCCTCAGCCTCCCAAGTAGCTGGGACTATAGGCACCTGCCATAACACTCAGTTATTTATTTATTTTTTTTTTTTTAGAGATGAGGTCTCACTCTGGCTCAGGCTGGTCTCTAACTCATGAGCTCAGGCAGTCTACCCAGCTTGGCCTCCCAAAATGTTAGGATGCTGGGTGTGAACCCCCACTGTTGACTCCTTCCCTTTCCTCACCCATTACCCTCAGTACCACACTCCCTTCCTTTTTTACCTCTACCCCAATCCAACCTTCTTTTCACCTGCTTCCGGAACTTCTGTTCAAATCCATCCTTAAAGGGTAAAGCCCTTTATCAATTCCCCTAAAACTGCATCAGGTACAGGACTAGTTAAGTGCAGTAGTGAGACTCTGTGTGTGTGTGTGTGTAGTAGAACAAAGAGCTCAATCTGTAACTGACTGTGATCAAGTGGAAATTAACAATTGTGCTGGAATTTAAGATTTTACAGAATTTGGTTCTCAATTCCCAGCTTTATCTCCCACCATGCTCCTAAAGGAACTTCTTGCCTGAACCAGCAAACACCCCAGTTACTGTGTACCCTAAACAGGTTTGCTCTCTTCACATCAGCATCTAGTGTTTTCTTAGACAATTTTCCCCATTCTTTAATGTCTAGCTGAAATGTCATCTCCTCACTGAAGCATCTTACATTCCTCTTGTCCCTAATTTCCTAAGAAAGACAGTCTGCATTTTAGCACTTATGGCTGGCTCTTGCCTTGTATCTTTTCTTTTTTTTTTTTTTTTTT